CTCCGGCTCCTGAGGTGAAGCAGAGGACGAAAGGCCCGGGGACGTGGTCCCCCGGTAGGCGGTCAGCGAAAGCCTGCGGGAACTCCATTTGTTGTCAGCCTACCCTGCTTCTGTCAGCAGATTAATCAAACAGTGGGCTCGAGGGAGCCTAACAGCCAGGGACGTGGGGAGAGCTGGGGGGAGGCACAGGTGATCCACGAGTAGCTGCAAGGAGACCTGAGGCAGCCCCTGCCATGAATAACCCTGTGTGTTGTCAGTCCAGGCTCGGTAACATCCTGCACCAAAACCAGGGGGGGTCTGGTTTTGCCGTTGCGCTCTCCACTGCAAATGCAGCCAGCTGCCACACAGGTGTGAGGGGAATGAGAACCGAGAGGAGATTTAAGATCAGTAAAGCACATCTTCAAATGGCAAAAGGCTCTACGTGGTTAATCCCTTTGAAAACAGTGTTTGACTATAATATTTGTGATATTTTTGGGGAAACTGGTTTGGTGTCTCTCTGCACCGAAAAATACAGAAAAGCTGACCATAGGTGTATAGCACAACAGTAAACGTTGCTTGCTTCAGTGAAGTCTCATGTGGTGAAACTTCAATCACGGTATTGATGTTTTCATCCTATCTCAGCTTCATTTCTGGAAATGGCTTGGCTTTTCTCCAGCAGGGCTTTGTTGAGAAATGCCTGAGCAGATATGACATTACTGAAGTTGTATAGTTTCTCTCTTGATAGTAATAGACACCTGATGAGGAATAAATTCAACACCTCTGAATATTATTCTCCGTGTTGATAGCTGAGAGGAATTAAACAGCCCCTTCTCGCTTGTGTTGCCAGAGTTATGCCTACAGGGAACTCCTTTGCTCCCTTCATGTGGCTAAATCCTTCTGTGGTCAAAATTTCGCTGAGATTCCCTTCTCAGTTTGCCCACCACCGCTCAGCTTCTGCAGACAGGCACACTGCATCAGAGCGAGCCATGCCCCATCCTTACAGTGGAGCAAATCCAGCCCATCCTCCCTTTGGGTGCCTCCAGCCCAGTTTCTGTGCGAGCTGCATGCTATTTGGCACTGGCTGGGCTGAAATTGCTAGCTGTATGTTACTCTGCTCTCATATTCCTGGCCTCAGAAGGAGTGCAGGAGCACAAGCCTCCCATGGACCTCTTCTTCCTGCTTGAACATGGAAGGCAGATGAAAACCAGTTTAGTTCAGGGAAGGGTTTAGTCTCTCAGGTCATTCCCTGCTATGAATAGTTAAAATAATGAGTGTATTATTAAGGGCTGAG